TCACCCTTGAAGTTTTGAGGTGGCTGAGGGTCTGACATAGATGAGGCCAGGGTCATCTATGTCAGAAAATTCCAAGCTTCCTTATGTGCCAAATCCTATAAAACTATTGTTGAAAGGTACCTTCCGACCTTAATGTGAGTAATGACAGCAACATACTTTGTCAAACATATCTTGAAACCTACTTCCATATATTGTGTTATATGTTACAAACCCTTCATTCTCATGTTCTCATTCATGTTACAAACCATCTTCATTCGCTGCTGTAACGAGAATATGACTTAGTATGATCATTGTATGTATGTACTTAATTGATTATATCAGTATTAGCTGAAACAATTATAAACTGTTACAAGAGTTATTGCTTTCATTCTTATTGTATTCCTTTCCCTTCATTTTATAATTCCTTTCATTATATAATACACGCGAGCCCCACTTATACATCAGGTTAGGTTCCGTGCTACTACTGTAAAGCAAAAATTCTGTGAAGTGAAAAATAAAATTTTTTACTTTCAAATGTGTATAAAAGCCTGATAACATGTTTACACTATCATATATTAAGTGAGCAATGAAGCTGGGCCTAAAAAATTCATATACAGTACATGTACTACACATTTTTTTTATTAACACATCGGCTGCTTCCTACCAAGGCAGGGTGACCCAAAAATGAAGAAACACCCTCATCAGCACTCACTCCATCACTGTCTTGTCAGAGGCTTGCTGACAGTACAGTTATAATATTGCAGCTTATCTACACCCCTCCTTTGGAGCACAAGCACTGTACTTCGCACCTCCAGGACTCAAGTCCGGCTAACTGGTTTCCCTGAATCCCTTCATAAATGTTACTTTGTTCACACTCCAACAGCACGTCAAACCACAACCTACACACATTACTTACATTAAAATAATTTTGTCCTTAGCTTATAGTGACTGGTGAATATATTTATAATAGGAAGTCTGAATAAATGAAGAATGGGTATACCTGAAAGCCGCTGCATTAGTGAAATGCTGTAAAACAAGGCCTGTATGTAGTTTGAAGTTAAAAAAAATGAATTTGAAATCACTACTGCTAAATAAGACATAAAAGTTACAGAATGTATTAATTTAGGAAAAGTCAGAGAGCCCCACTTACTGCTCAAATAAATCACAAAGTTCTGTTATACTGTAACATTGTGGATGAGAAGAAGGAAGGAAGGAGATCCTTTGCATCAGTGTATGTGTAGGGCTAGATAGATATTTTCAAAAAAGTTAAAAAATGCAGCAGTCTTCATAATACAGTGGTACCTTAACTTACGAGTTTATTTCATTCTGTGACTGAGCTCATAACTCAGTTTACTTGAATATCAAATAAATTTTCCTTATTGAAATTAATTGAAATGCCATTTATCCGCTCCAGCGGAATTCCTGGTTCTCTGGAGGCAGGAGAAAGTATTTCAATATAACGCTAATATAAACTCTGGGGCTTATTTATATATCAAAATTGATCTAATATGACATAATAAACAATATAAATAACATAGAAACATGATACTGTATATACTCTAGAATGAATAAAATATGTCATTGTGTGACGAGTGTTGGCGGCCACTCCCGAGGTAAAAATAATTATCCCTCTGACTATATCTTCCCATTCTTGCCCTTCTGAGGTGTTATTATAAGAGAAAATGGAGTGTTTGTGAGTCTAACTGCACTATATCACTAGTTTCATAAGGAAAACACTGAAACAGAAGCGATTTTCTCAGATTTTTTTTCCCCCCCGAGTCAGGAGACCGGCCTAGGTTTCGGGTGAATATCTCGGAAGTAAATTAGTGTAAATACCTCATGCTGTCTCCCAGAGAAGGCATGAGGTACGAAGTACAGTGGACCCCCGCATAACGATATTAATCCGTTCCTGAGAGCTCATTGTTATGCGAAATTATCGTTATGCGAATGAATTTTCCCCATAAGAAATAATGGAAATCAAATTAATCCGTGCAAGACACCCCAAAGTATGAAAAAAAAAAAAATTTACCACATGAAATATTAATTTTAATACACACAAACTGAAAAAGGCATGCACAGTTACATGACACTTGCCTTTATTGAAGATCTGGTGATGATTGATGGGATGGGAGGAGGAGAGAGTCTTAGTGTTTAGAAGGGGAATCCCCTTCCATTAAGACTTGAGGTGTCAAGTCCTTTTCTGGGGTTACTTCCCTTCTTTTAATGCCACTAGGACCAGCTTCAGAGTCACTGGACTTCTGTCGCACAACATATCTGTCCATAGTGGCCTGTACCTCTCGCTCCTTTATGACTTTCCTAAAGTGTTTCACAACAGTGTCAGTGTAATAGTCACCAGCACGGCTTGCAATAGCTGTGTTAGGGTGATTGTCATCAAAAAAGGTTTGCACTTTAAGCCACATTCCACACATTTCCTTAATCTTTGAAGTAGGCAACTTATTCAATTTCTCTCTCCCCTCCTCCGAAGCAGTTTCCTCAGGTCTGGCCTCTTGCTGTTGAAGTTGATCTAGCAGCTCATCAGTGGTTAGTTCTTCATTGTCCTCCTCCACCAACTCTTCCACATCATCCCCACTAACCTCCAACCCCAAGGACTTTTCCAATGCCACAATAGATTCCTCAACTGGCATAGGATTCCCAGGGTTAGCCTCAAACCCTTCAAAATCCCTTTGGTCTACACATTCTGGCCACAGTTTCTTCCAAGCAGAGTTCAAGGTCCTCTTAGTCACTCCCTCCCAAGCCTTACCTATAAGGTTTACACAATTGAGGATATTAAAGTGATCTCTCCAAAACTCTCTTAGTGTCAATTGAGTTTCTGAGGTCACTACAAAGCACCTTTCAAACAGAGCTTTTGTGTACAGTTTTTTGAAGTTTGCAATAACCTGCTGGTCCATGGGCTGCAGGAGAGGAGTGGTATTAGGAGGCAAAAACTTCACCTTAATGAAGCTCATGTCCCCAGAAAGTCGCTCTGGCACGTCTGTAGGATGACCAGAGGCATTGTCTAACACCAGGAGGCACTTAAGGTCTAATTTCTTTTCAGTTAGGTAATCTTTCACATTGGGGGCAAATGCTTGGTGTAACCAGTCATAGAAAAAGTCCCTAGTGACCCATGCCTTACTGTTTGCCCTCCACAGCACACACAAATTAGCCTTGAGGATATTCTTTTGCCTGAACACTCTGGGAGTTTCTGAGTGATACACTAATAAAGGCTTCACTTTGCAATCACCACTAGCATTGGAACACATCAACAGAGTAAGCCTGTCTTTCATAGGCTTATGTTCTGGGAGTGCCTTTTCCTCCTGAGTAATGTAGGTCCTGCTTGGCATTTTCTTCCAAAACAGGCCTGTTTTCATCACAATTAAACACTTGTTCAGGTTTCAGTCCTTCACTGTCTATGTACTCCTTGAATTCCTGCACATATTTTTCAGCTGCTTTGTGGTCCGAACTGGCAGCCTCACCATGCCTTATCACACTATGTATGCCACTATGCTTCTTAAATCTTTCAAACCAACCTTTGCTGGCCTTAAATTCACTCACATCATCACTAGTTGCAGGCATTTTTTTAATTAAATCCTCTTGCAACTTCCTAGCCTTTTCACTTATGATCACTTGAGAGATGCTATCTCCTGCTATCTGTTTTTCATTTATCCGTACCAATAAGAGTCTCTCAACATCTTCCATCACTTGCGATCTCTGTTTCGAAAACACACAGTTGAACCTTTGCAAGAACAGCTTCCTTGATTGCCGTTTTGTTGGACACAATAGTAGCGATGGTTGATTGGGGTTTACTATACAACCTGGCCAGCTCGGAGACACGCACTCCACTTTCATACTTAGCAATGATCTCTTTCTTCATCTCTATAGTAATTCTCACCCTTATTCCTGTAGGGTTGGCACTAGAAGCTTTCTTGGGGCCCATGGTCACTTATTTTGCAGATAAAATCACCAAAAACACTGTAATAATACGAAATGTTCCGATTGTATGCTTGGATGTTACCACGGAGGCTGGCTGGTAAACAATGCCACCGGCGGAACATGTGAGGCTGGCTCAGGCCGCACATTAGACGTGTCTTGGACGTATAGCGTTGAGCGGGTTTTTTAGCGGTATGCGAGGCAAAATCTTAGTGATAAAATGTATCGGTATGCGGATTTAACATTATGTGATGCCAACGGTATGCGGGGGTCCACTGTATGTACTACACTCGCCAAGTCTCGCCAAGCCTCACCAAGTCGACTACACGCACACTTTGCTCGTGTTTTTCTATGATTTCATGCTTTAATTCAATGGACATCATCCTCTTCTTCTCACCATTGTTCTTTGCAGCACTTGCTTTCTTAGGACCGATGGTTAGAAAAAAGAAATTTGGCAAAATAACTTCACAAAAAGCACAAAATGCTGGGATGTTGGGAGGATGTTGTGGTGTTCGCTGCGTCAACTAATGGCGGTGTATCTGAAGCTTGCTTGTAACTTGGACTTTGGCTCGCAACTCAAAGCAAAAAATCGACCAAGCAACTGCTCATAACTCGGAGAACTTGTAAGTTGGGGCACTCGTAAGTCAAGGTACCACTGTAAAAGGTTTTCTGGCAAGTTGCTTAAAGTACTGCAGGTTAAAAAGCTTACAGAGATGTATTACAGAATACAGCACTTGAACACACCTGTACTAGATCAACCACTGACAGTTGTGTATCCACATTAACACAAACTCTACAACCATCCACCTTAGCCCAGTAGGGCCACATCACTCCTTTCCACACACTTCTATTGGAAGACAAAAACACTACTTTAACACAATTTTTTCTCAAATGTTCTTTTAGCTACATCACTTAATTAACACTGGTTTATGATACTTGTTGATTTTCAGGAATGTAACCAGTGTATTTTAAGAGGGTTTACTGTATCTTCCTGGATGCTGCTGTGTATCAGCCTACTACACCAATATGAGTCTGAATTATGTATGTCAAGGCTTTGGGTGTGTGGGATAATACAGATTAACTTTTGTTTACAGAAACTTCAATCATGAGAGAGAGAATACTCCAGGTGTTGTGGGCCACACTTACTTTATTAATATTAATGAGAAGAGTCAGTGGACAAGCAAAAGTGAAGCCTGTCACTACTCACCTCTCTGCCAAATGGACACACACACCTCTCCTGCTGGAGACAGCAGAGTACATGCGAGAGGAGAGCCCTGCTACCTTTTGGAGCTTTGTTGATATTATTGCTGAAAAGGATCCACAATTATTTACAAACAGTAAGATATTATGTTATATAAACTTGAGTATAATATTGTATGTTTTGATTTTTAAAAATTTATTTAATAAAATTCTTTTAGAAATTTAATGTATTATTTATGAGCTAGTAATTTTCAAGGTGACAATCATTTTCAAGACAAGGTGTTCTTTATTTGGAGAAATAAACTGTGTTCCTAACAAATGACTGCCTCTCCATTTAAACTCTGTCAGCTAACTATAAACTAAGTTAATCACCTACTCAGACTTTCATTTCTTCAAAATATGTTTGATTAATTATTATTAGCAGTAGTAATGGGACAAACAGTTTTGACAATGTTTACATTTGGATAATATGTTTTAAAGAGAATACCATTTTTAAACTTGTCAGCTAACTATAACTATAGTTTGAATCACCACTGTTTACTTCAAACATTTTTACATTTTTTTTACAGAAGGATACTGTTTTCATAGCATAATTTGTGATCCATTTTATGTTTTCAGCAATGGTATGTTTGCATACACTGTAATTTGACTTTGTAATTTTTTAAGATGAGTTTCCTACATAGATTTCCTGAATCCATTCTTAAATGTTTTACTAGGGTGTTTCTCACATGCCACGATCAATTTGTTATGTCATTTTAATTCGTTCTGCTACATGGTTCTCTGATCCCTTCATACATGTACTTGTTCACTGCTACAGTCTCCTTCTTCTCTCTCGTTCTCTCTCTCGTTCTCTCTCTCTTCTCTCTTGTTCTCTCTCTTGTTCTCTCGTCATCTCTCTCTCGTATCTCTCTCTTGTCTCCTCTCTCGTTCTCTCTCGTTCTCTCTCTCTGTTCTCTTCTCTCTCGTCTTCTCTCTCGTTTCTCTCTCTCGTTCTCTCTCTTCTCGTTCTCTTCGTTCTCTCTCTCGTTCTCTCTCGTTCTCTCTCTCGTTCTCCGTTCTTCTCTCTCGTTATCTTCTGTTCTCTCTTAGTTCTCTCCTCTCGTTCTCTCTCGTTCTCTCGTCTCTCTCTCTCGTTCTCTCATTCTCTCTCTCGTTCTCTCGTTCTCTCTCTCGTTCTCTCTCTCATTCTCTCTCTCGTTCTCTCTCTCTCGTTCTCTCTTCTTTCTCTTCTCTCTCAGTTTCTCTCTCTCGTTTCTCTTGTTCTCTCTCTCGTTCTCTCTTCTTCTCTCTCTCGTTCTCTCGTTCTCTCTCTCGTTCTCTCGTTCTCTCTCGTTCTCTCGCTCTCTCTCGCTCTCTCTCGTTCTCTCTCTTGTTCTCTCTCTCTCGTTCTCTCTCTCGTTCTCTCTCTCATTCTCTCTCTCTCTCTCTCTCTCTCTCTCTCTCTCTCTCTGTCTGTCTGTGTCTAAACCCCTTGCACACTGAAACCTTCACCCGCTCCCTTCAACCTTTCTTACAATGACCCCGTCTCTGCCTTCCATCACTTTAGATTTATACACCCTCCAAGCATACTATTTTGTTCCATCCTTTCTAATAGCCAGAATCACCTGAACTCCTCTTCAGCCTTGTGGATAATACTTTTAGTAATTCTGCACCTCCTAATCTCTGAGCTACAAACTCCCTACGTAATATTTACACCTCCCTAGAGACACTACTTCTCTGCTGCCTCCAGCCTCCTTACTGCAACATTCACAACACATGCTTCATACCCATATAAGAGTGTTGGTACCACTATACTCATACATTCCTCTTTTTGCCTCTTTGAATAATGTTCTTTGCATGTACTTCTCCTATGACCCCCATCTGTAAATATATTAAGCAACCATGGTGATGTCATGCATCCCTGTCTAAGGGATGCATACCCTAATCTGAGCCTCACTATCCTTGTAAAAACTCATAACTGCTTTCAGTAACTTACTACTAATTCCATACACATGCAACATTTGCCACATTGCTCCCCTATCCACCTTATCATATGCCTTTTCCGAATCCATTAATGTAACAGAAACTTCTTTACCCTTATCTGTCTACTGTTTACTTATATGCTTCACTGTAAACACTTGGTCTATACATCTCCTACCCTTCCTAAGGTCTCCTTGTTAATCTGCAATCCTGCTGTCTGTCCTGCTCTTAATTATTTTAATAATAACTCTACCATACACCTTACCAGGTATAATCAACAGGTTTATTCCCTATTATTCTTACATTTTTGTCCCCTTTGCTTTTATACAAAGGAACTATTAAAGTATAGGTCCTTTATACAAAGGAACCATAAATTATTTATTTATTTTTTTTTTTCAACAAGTCGGCCGTCTCCCACTGAGGCAGGGTGACCCAAAAAAGAAAGAAAATCCCCAAAAAGAAAATACTTTCATCATCATTCAACACTTTCACCACACTCGCACATTATCACTGTTTTTGCAGAGGTGCTCAGAATACAACAGTCTAGAAGCATACACATATAAAGATACACAACATATCCCTCCAAACTGCCAATATCCCAAACCCCTCCTTTAAAGTGCAGGCATTGTACTTCCCATTTCCAGGACTCAAGTCCGACTATATGAAAATAGCCGGTTTCCCTGAATCCCTTCACTAAATATTAGTAATCCTGCTCACACTCCAACAGATCGTCAGGTCCCAAATACCATTCGTCTCCATTCACTCCTATCTAACACGCTCACGCACACTTGCTGGAAGTCCAAGCCCCTTACCCACAAAACCTCCTTTACCCCTCTCTCCAACCCTTTCGAGGACGACCCCTACCCCGCCTTCCTTCCCCTATAGATTTATATGCTTTCCATGTCATTCTACTTTGATCCATTCTCTCTAAATGACCAAACCACCTCAACAACCCCTCTTCTGCCCTCTGACTAATACTTTTATTAACTTCACACCTTCTCCTAATTTCCACACTCCGAATTTTCTGCATAATATTTACACCACACATTGCCCTTAAACAGGACATCTCCACTGCCTCCAACCGTCTCCTCGCTGCTGCATTTACCACCCAAGCTTCACACCCATATAAGAGTGTTGGTACTACTATACTTTCATACATTCCCTTCTTTGCCTCCATAGATAACGTTTTTTGACTCCACATATACCTCAACGCACCACTCACCTTTTTTCCCTCATCAATTCTATGATTAACCTCATCCTTCATAAATCCATCCGCCGACACGTCAACTCCCAAGTATCTGAAAACATTCACTTCTTCCATACTCCTCCTCCCCAATTTGATATCCAATTTTTTCTTTATCTAAATCATTTGACACCCTCATCACCTTACTCTTTTCTATGTTCACTTTCAACTTTCTACCTTTACACACATTCCCAAACTCATCCACTAACCTTTGCAATTTTTCTTTAGAATCTCCCATAAGCACAGTACATCAGCAAAAAGTAACTGTGTCAATTCCCGTTTGAATTTGATTCCCCATAATTTAATCCCACCCCTCTCCCAAAACACCTAGCATTTACTTCCTTTACAACCCCATCTATAAATATATTAAAACAACCATGGTGACATTACACATCCCTGTCTAAGACCTACTTTTACCGGGAAGTAGTCTCCCTCTCTTCTACACACCCTAACCTGAGCCTCACTATCCTCATAAAAACTCTTTACAGCATTTAATAACTTACCACCTATTCCATATACTTGCAACATCTGCCACATTGCTCCTCTATCCACTCTATCATATGCCTTTTCTAAATCCATAAATGCAATAAAAACTTCCCTATCTTTATCTAAATACTGTTCACATATATGCTTCAATGTAAACACCTGATCTACACATCCCCTACCCACTCTAAAACCTCCTTGCTCATCCGCAATCCTACATTCTGTCTTACCTCTAATTCTTTCAATTATAACCCTACCGTACACTTTTCCTGGTATACTCAGTAAGCTTATTCCTCTATAATATTTACAGTCTCTTTTGTCCCCTTTCCCTTTATATAAGGGACTATACATGCTCTCTGCCAATCCCTAGGTACCTTCCCTCTTTCATACATTTATTAAACAAAAGTACCAACCACTCCAACACTATATCCCCCCCTGCTTTTAACATTTCTGTCATGATCCCATCAGTTCCAGCTGCTTTACCCCCTTTCATTTTACGTAATGCCTCACGTACCTCCCCCACACTTACATTCTGCTCTTCTTCACTCCTAAAAGATGGTATACCTCCCTGACCAGTGCATGAAATTACTGCCTCTTTTTCTTCCTTAACATTTAAAAGTTCCTCAAAATATTCTCGCCATCTACCCAATACCTCCATCTCCCTATCTACTAACTCCCCTACTCTGTTTTTAACTGACAAATCCATATTTTCCCTAGGCTTTCTTAACTTGTTTAACTCACTCCAAAATTTTTCTTATTTTCATTAAAATTTCTTGACAGTGCCTCTCCCACTCTATCATCTGCTCTCCTTTTGCACTCTCTCACCACTCTCTTTACCTTTCTTTTACTCTCCATATACTCTGCTCTTCTTATAACACTTCTGCTTTGTAAAAAACCTCTCATAAGCTACCTTTTTCTCTTTTATCACACCCTTTACTTCATCATTCCACCAATCACTCCTCTTTCCTCCTGCCCCCACCCTCCTATAACCACAAACTTCTGTCCCACATTCTAATACTGCATTTTTAAAACTATTCCAATCCTCTTCAACCCCCCCACTACTCATCTTTGCACTAGCCCACCTTTCTGCCAATAGTCGCTTATGTCTCACCCGAACTTCCTCCTCCCTTAGTTTATACACTTTCACCTCCCTCTTACTTGTTGTTGCCACCTTCCTCTTTTCCATCTACCTCTTACTCTAACTGTAGCTACAACTAAATAATGATCCGATATATCAGTTGCCCCTCTATAAACATGTACATCCTGGAGCCTACCCATCAACCTTTTATCCACCAATACATAATCTAATAAACTACTTTCATTACGTGCTACATCATACCTTGTATATTTATTTATCCTCTTTTTCATAAAATATGTATTACTTATTACCAAATTTCTTTCTACACATAGCTCAATTAAAGGCTCCCCATTTACATTTACCCTGGCACCCCA